TGAAGAGATTAGGATTAGTTGTTGAATCCATGAAAAGGAAAAAAAAATACCATGTCATTTACTATTATCGGAAATTCAGATTTTGGAAGACTTTTTTGTTTCCATTTGATTTGTGATGCGATTCCAATCAGTTGCAGTTGATTGTTATTAATAGTTCTGATTCTGGCAATGGTTCAATGAGATATAATTTTAAGGTGTAAAAGTTTAAGAAATGAAATCATAAATTTCATGTTCTTTCATTGAAAGAAAACAAATAAGTTTTACTAATGGTAACGATCATTAACATGATGATTATGAGATAACAGAACTGATTAAGTAAGCGTTTAGATTGAGTAATGAATTGATTGGTGAATATGATTGTTGATGAGCTTTTTTTTCAACTTCAACCGGGAAAAAAGTTCAGGATGAGAAATGAAAAGTATCACCACCATTAACAATCGGAATCATGTTGAAAAGGATTAAAGGAAGAGAGAAAAAAAATAAGAAGGAAAAAGAAAGTTCTGAATAACATCATGATAATGATCATGATGATTATGATGATACTCATGCAGGGGATGAGATCGATTTGTATTCATTTCAATGAATTTAATAATAAGATGATGATAAAAATGTTATCATTTATCAGCATTGATCCATTTCGGGGACATTGTTTTTTTCTTGTGATTTAATTTGTTTTCAGTTGCTCGATATACAAGAGATAACTTATCGTTCTGAACTCTGATCATCTTATCATGAAGTAAAAAAAAACGATAAAATATCATAAGAAAACTGAATGGGAGTGAAAAAGGCGTAGCCAGACAGTTCTGAGCTTTGAGCTTTGAGCTTTTGAGCTCATAATTATCATGGAAATAATTTTTTTCATCTACTGTTGACAGGGATTGAAAAAAGTACCGTTATGATGATATAAAGTGAGAAAATGAATCTAAATGATAAATCATAATCATCTTCATTATATCATCCATTTCGTCAGTTTCTTGTTCATTTAATGAGTTTATGAATAACTTTTGAAAATTTTTCTCGACAAAAAAAATAAACGAATGGATTTAACTTTCAAATGGGATAAATAGCATAACTTTAATCATGATGATGATTATTTTATTTACATTTAATTCTGTTTAAATTGCATTTCAGTTGATGGGATGAACAGAATAAGTAAATTGATTACGTGTTAATGGTTCTAAATTGCTTTAATGTTCATCACTCTACATGTTTGTATTGATAATAATATTAATTTTTTCTATGAAAAGATTATGAATGAACTTTTTAGCTTCTTCTTCTCTTTCAATCTTTTTCTTTGTAATTTTTGTCTTCCTAATGATAATCATTGAATTCAATGATTATCGAGGGACCAACATGATGATCACTTAATGTGCTTTTGTTTTTTCCTCCTGATTGGAATATGATATGACCTTGATATTGAAGAAACATTAAAGACCATGAAAAGGTTAGTTGCTGTTTTATTTACGATTGTGATATTTGATTTCATCCAAATCAGAACTAATCATCTTTATCCTATTATCAGGATCCTTTTAACTGATTCTGATATGTATACGAGAGAGAGAGAGAAATCATCTCATTCTTTTGTTCAGTGTTTACTTGATCCAGTTTCATCTTCCGCTTCCGCTTCGTTGAATCTACGAGACGTTAAAGTATTAAACTTGAGATGATATTGATGATAGAAGATGAGAAAGATAAAGAAGATGATGATGAGGACAAAAAGTTTCTTGTTGTGGTTAAGAATCCATGAGAATCCGTTATAAATGCATGATAACGTTCATAGATCTGATATTATCCAAATATTCAGTTCAATCTCTTTCAATATCATCTTTATCTTCATCTTCATCTTGAAACATATTTACATCATTATTGTGATACACTAGATTAGTTTAATCAATAGTAATATCAAGTATCATAAGTATATGTTAACCTAAATGTTGATGATCATTTCAAATTATGTAACCATTGTTGATGATGGACAAATGATTAACCCAAATAATGATAAATAATAATAATACAACTTGAATACTGATTGAATGAGTAAATATAAGATAAGAGGTAGTAAATGATTAAAGGGGTTCAGGTGATTGAAAGTTTCATGGAAAGATGTTGATTCCATGATTATATCAGTTCCCTTTTCATGGTGAGTTGATAATAAATGAAATGAATTGAGTTGCAATGAAATCTATCATTTGTCACTAATTTTTTTTATTCCAAGACTGAAAGTTAGTAAACATTGAATAAGATGATGATGATGATAATGTGATGATAATAGAGATGATAAATACAATATAGTAAAAAATACTCACAACTCCGATCATGGAAAGATAAAGTTGTGAATAAGAATCAGAATTGAGATATGATATTAATAATAATAAACACTTTTCATGTTTACTGATTTGTGAATGATTGTTATTAAAAGTTAAGTTAATCATTGGAGTTAAATTAAAATGATGAGAGATTTTTTTTTCTTCAACTAAATTAAGAAAAACTCAGAGAGATGATAATCAATGGTAATCAAAGCTAGTAGTTAATATTAATCAAAAGATGAGTCATTAATTTACTGATTAATTGCAATTGAGATGAAGAAAAAAAATTCGACTAATAAATAAATAAATCAAATTAACGATGCATAAGATGAATGATAATTAAAGGATGAGAATGAGTAGTTGACAACAATTAATATTGATTTACAATAATCAATTCACCTTTAGCTGTAAATTGTCAAACAATTGTCAAGTTAATTAAATGCTACTCTTAAGTCTTGAGTCCTGTTAATTAACTTGTTGTGTGATCATGTGAATATGATTAAGGTTGAAAAGGTAATTTTAAGATTTTTCCATTAATTGAATCAGATTAAGACGTTTAGTTGGTTAATTGTGAATATTAATGAAGGTGTAGTGAAGTTAATTACTCCAATTAAAAGTTGATCAATTTGATTTGATCTGATTATCTTAATAATAACTGATTGTAAGTTGAGAAGTTTTTTTTTCTCATCAGTTGATTTACTTTTCGTTGCATTTTATTTTTATTATCATCTACGGAAATTTAATCATTTCTGTTGATTGTTGAAAGGCTAATCAAGGGTATTAACTAATCAACTTAAATTGATCAAAAGGAAATACAACAAAAACGATTGTGAAGATAAATTTACAATTGAATAGATCACAGTATTGTCATGGTAATCATGTAAAAGGCTAATACCCTAAGGACATTTTCCTTTATCAATGAGAATAAAAAATTGAATACATTTGGATAATAATATGAGTATAATCGCTAATAATGTGTGACATTTTTTTCTGTCACATTTAGAATCCAGTTAATAACTATTATCGAAACTTTTGAAGGTTATTCAAGGTTAAATATCGTTAGAGGGTCAAGTTTATCAACTTCTCGAACGAGGTAATTTTCCCAAAACGATTTCAACTAAATCGAAATGCTTATCAAATTTTTAATCGTCAATGATTATATTCACGTTGGAAACATTAAATTGTTGATTATGAAGCTAATTGTTAATCAAATTTCCATTAATTAATCTAATGAGACAATACTGACTTCTTCATGATAGGATTATCATTATTGTTATTGAATTCTGGGAACCTGAAACTTGAAAAAACTTTTTCTATTAATTGTTATTCGGGATTTTTACTTAATCCACTTATAATATGACCTTTTTTTGAACTTCTTCATGTTATTTGACCTTTGGGAGTTTGATTTAAACCTTAATTTGAATTGTAATTGTTTCAATTTAATGATTTACTGTATTTAGAAACAATTAACTTAAATTGTGTTTCTATTACTTTCGTTTTTGTTTTTAAATCATTTACTTTGATGATTGTTATTATCATATGATTGCTGATATTATCTCATCATCATCATTATCAATAAATCAATTTAATTGATCACAGAAAATTGAAACAATTTATTTCCATTGAGAGTCTCAATTGATATTTGTGTTGATTAGTTGAAAAGTTTTAGTTTGTTTTTAATTGTTACAAATCAAATAGTAAACAGTTAATTGTTTTTTTTTCAAATTCAATGATTTGATTGTTTAAATACTTTGCATGATTAAATGTATATACTAATATACATTGATTGGTTTTAATTAAATTGCTGTTAAGCATTAGATTATGCATCAAGTATTAACTTAATTACTGGTAATTAAACAAATTGTTCAATAGATTTAATCAATTTATTGAGCAATAATTAACTTATTTACTTAATTATCAAAGTTACTACCATAATAGCAATTTAATTTGATGATTATATACAAAATTTAATTCAGTGATTGTAAATATAAACATAAGTGTATGTGTCTTGGTTAAAAGCTGATTAAGGAAACAATTAAACTAATCAAGTGTACTCATTTCTAATGATTAGATTTAGATTGATGAATCAAATGACAATGACAACCGATGAAACTTGAAACATACACTCAATTATATCACTAATAACAATTTAATAACAATTTAATACCAACATTTAAGTGTAACTATCAATGATCATTGTTGAGTAATAAATAAATTGTAATCAAATTAAAATCAATGAAAGTAAGACTCACTTTCGAGAAGGATTTTACTTTTTATTCATTGAGAAAAAGTGAATCAAATTTGTCTCAATGATGACAATTTAATAAATAGAGTGACAATCAGTGGAGAAATACAATAACAAGAAAATAGAATCAATTTCTAGTGATTAGCATATAAGGTAAATCTAAATATAAACATAATATAAAGTTAACTTGAAGTCCTCTTAACAATTTACCATCAATAATGTTATATGTGTGTACTAATCAAATGATTGAACATCAATTGTAATAAATTTTGTTTACTCTCAATTCAATTAGTTGATATAAGGATAACAACAAGCAATAAGCAATAGCAATGAAACCAAACAATTTGAATTGTAACTTGATTATCTTTGGATTGTAATAATAAGGTTGTTGTTGTTGCTGTTGATGTGATGATAATAATAGATTGTATGAGTTAATTGTTTACACTTACCGATCAATTGAAATTGCCATTAAGGTCAATACGGAGGCAGAAACTGAGACAATTGCAATGAAATTTGATATCTTACAATAAAGTGTACCAAAAGGCCAATCCCCGTTGAGCATACAGGTAAAGTTAAAGATAACATTTAACGTGGACACCATGATGTCCGCTACCGATAGATTAACGATGAAATAATTAGTGACCGTCCTCATCCTTTTATGGGCCAAAACGAGCCATATCACTATCGTATTACCACCGGTGGCAACTAATATCATCCCACCGAAGACCAGTGTCCAGATAACTTGTTGCCACCAGGGAAGGATAAACTTATTTCTTTCCAGAACTGAATTATCGGATGAATTTAGTAAATGGCTTTGATTGTTGGTTGAATTTGAAAGGTCAAATTCAATGAATTCAGATGAATTGTAACCAAGTAATGAAAGATTATCATAATCATTGAATTGAACATGATTAACATGAGCATTATTATTTACACCAAACACATTGACACTATTATTATTATTATTATTATACTTATTGCTATTAATTAGATTAACGGTTGATAATAAATCACTGATCATTGATGAATCATTAGTAACGATTGATAAAGATTCATGGATTAACATTGATGATAAATTCATTCCGTTTGGTTGATTAAAGACTTTACAAAGTGAATTAAAATTTTGATTATTATCTGAAATTTAATTCTTTGCTCTTGTTTATGACACAATTTAAATTTTACAATTGTTGATCTTTAATTGTTGAGCACATGATTAAAGGTTTTGTTGTTGATTTAGAATTTTGTTTTAATGATAGTTTGTCATTGGAATTGAACAATTTATGTATATGTATAATGTTACTCGTTAATGGTTATGATTTTTACAGTTGATCTTTGTAGTTAGTATATTTTTAATCACTCTATGGTAATTTAAGGTTGTATTTTTGTTTGTCTGATTGTTGATTAATTGGTGAAACTAATTGAAATGGGAAAACATTGATTAAGGTTTGAATTACTTTTGTTCAGATCTTTTTTTTTTACTCCTTGGTGAGTGAGTTTTTGTTTATTTGCTGATTTTTGTTCAAAAATTGGATTTAAAGTTTAACCCAATTTCTGATTAACTGGTTTAAATTTGATTCTGATCAATTATTTCTCATGTCATAACATATTAAACTTTAACATGCAATTCCCATGTAAATATCATGGCTACTAAATTCATGGAATAACTAAACTCAGAGTTTTGTAGTCACACTAAAACTAAGGTGAAAGCGATTCAATTGATGATTTGTTTTCACGCAGTCTCGAAGTTTTTTTTATCTTCATCCTATTTTATCGTCTTCATCTTCATCTTCATCATTATCGTCATCATCAACCGACATTATCACCATCTTCAATTTATCTTCATTCTCACTGTTTATTGATGTTAATCACTGATTGTCATTTACATGCAATCAAATGACGATGTTTAATAAAAAAGACAATCAGCTTCTGATAAATGGTTTAGGTTTCAGTTTGATTGCTCTTAATATTTTGGTAACAATTAATCAATCATCGCCTGTCGAGATCATAGTTTTTTCATTTTCGTTTTCATCCTCGTCTTCTTCTTCTTCATCTTCTCCTTCTTCTCCATCTTCTTTAGCAATTTCATCTTCATCAACTCCTTTGTTCTTTGCCTGTTTCAGTTTCGTCTCAAATTCCTCCAGCATTTGTTTCGTTTCGTTTTTAAGACCTGTTGTTTTCTTTGCATTTGTGACAATCGACATGAACAATTCGTAAACTGCTGCGACCGATACTTTGTCAGCGAAACAGGAAAAGTTTTCGAATAGTTTGGTGATTGATTTATCGGAATACTTGAGTAAACTCAGACAGAAGGATAAATCAACCCATTGTCGCTCATTTCTGTGGAAAAGGTAATAAGAACAAAAAAAGATGATTAGAACCACTGACCGAAATCATTTGAGAAATTAAAGAAACTTACAGAGTGTTTTTGAATCTTTGGCACATTTTCTCTAAGAGACCAATAGTATGACGTTCCTTGTCAATGAGTTCGAATAGGAAACGCATGATGGTTCGAAAATCGTTCTCTTCGATTCCAACCTTCGAATCTGATAGATTACTGATTATATCAGGTAGCACATTGTAGACAGCGTTTAGCTTCTTGCTTAATTGGGTAAAAAATAGTTTTGCATAACATGAAACATGCTCCTCTGGGTCAACCATGAGTTTCGCCATCTCACTGATTTGATCTTGTACTTTAATCATGTCAGATAAAATCAATCGTGAGATCACTTTGAGCGCATTGGTGCGGACCAAGACACAATCATCTTGTAATGATTGATATAAATGGGAAGTCCAAGGTTCCAACAGGTTAGGAAATCGAACACATAAATCACCAACTGCGATAATTGTATTAGATCGGATTGCAGGATCTTCGGCTTTCTTGAGAATTGTGATCAATAAACGAATATTGTTCTTACAAAAGTTCTCACTAATCGCCATCATTTTTGCCAATGTGAGACTTGCAGCAGATTTTAATTGTTCATGAGGATAATTTTTAGGATCACTTGCTACTTTGACTACAATTCGAGACAATTTAGCGAGTAGATTTTCATTCTTATCGTGAGGATCAACAATCTCGGAATTACAAAGAGATGCAATGAATTCAGCCTCAGCATCTTCTGCTGATACAACTCCTGTTAATCCTAATTCATCATCATCTTCATTTAAACCTCCACCAGTTGATCGTCTTCCTGATGATTTCCTCCTACTCATTGAAATTACAGTTTGAGATAAACTTTTCCGGTTATCTCTTTCCTCTTTAATTGCATTTCTTGTCTTTAACTCGGTGAAAACATTAACTTCCAAATGAATCAAAAGATTCATTGCAACTGAACCAATACTGTGAATGAAACGAGCTAATATTTTGGAGGAACCATAAGTAAATCATTGCTAGTAGAGCTATTTGTTGATTGACTAGGAAGAAATACTTCATTATCGTCTTCTCTATCATCTTCAGCTGTTGAGTTGTTCTTTGATTGGGATTGTTTGTATTTCATGAGATGACGAATCATTCCATATAAAATCTCTTCAGAAATTGTATCCGGATGTTCAGCTAAATTGAATATAACTTTGAAAGCTTCTTCACACATTGGTAACCATCCATCATTTTCATCACCAGGAAACGTTTCGACAACAACTCGAACAATATTTACAAAAACTGAATGAGATTTCAAGAGACGATACGGAAGTTCAGCGGTGATGATTCGCCCCTGATTGGTCATCGCTTTAGAAAGAGCGGAACAAGTGTAACGAGCGAGTTGGAGGTCAGTTAGAGCTCTTTCTCCAAGACCCACGGAAACAAGAAGATCAAGATTTTTACGAATCAATTGTGGATTAGAACTTGCTAACATCGATATTAATTGGATACAAATTCGACTCTCTTCTTCGGTTGTTTGTCCAGATCGAAGTGAAAACTTGTCCCAAAGTAATTGGATCACATGTTTATCGAAACTGTTTGTTGATGACATTTCTCGAAGAAGCTCTTGTAGTGAGATTATCTCATCCAAATCTGATCCTTTAACCAATTCAACCAATTTACTCACAATTGATTTTGCTTTTTCGAGTCCAGTTTGTTCAGCATTTTCAGGCGCTTCGAACAATATCCTCTTATAAGCTTCGATCACTTCTTTTTTTGTTCCATCAGTTGAAAAGATTAAGATGATCATTTTTCGCAATCCAACTTGTGCTTCCTCTTTTATACCAAATTCGTAAGCAGTAACAAGAAAGTTGATCGCTTCTTGTACATCCTGTATGGTTTTCGAATACAGTAGAGTACAAACCAGTGGAACAGCCGATTTTAAGTATTTTGTCACTATGATTATATCTCGTAGATAGATGAGTACATTTTTTTGTTTCTCCAGTAAGTCAACCACTTTTTCGAGAGATTCTTCTGCTTGTGATTCACTTGCGTTCGAGTCTTTTTCACGATTGGAAACCGCTCGATTTATTTCACCTCTCATAGTTTCCTCACCTAATTCGATGGTCTTTTTCTTAGAAACTTGAATGTAAACAGTTTTACAGAATTTTACAATTTTCGATGCTCGAATATGAACAAGTCCGTGTTCTTCACCAATTCCTTCATCTTCGTTTTCATCTTCACCATTCTCGTTATCGCCATCGCCTTTACCATTCGTTTCATTGATCGTTTCGTTTTCTTTGTCCTCATTGTCTGCATCTTCATCGATACTCATACAAGTATCTTCGTTCTCAGATGCTCGACGTCGTTTTCTATTCTTCTTATTTCGACGACTTTTTTCACCTTTTCCTGAATTCTTTTTTTGCTGAATTGTTTCGTCCTCATCGTCTTTAAAAGCTTCGTTATCAGGAAACTTTTCTTTCATCAATGCGTAAAGTTGAACAGCTCTGTTGAAATTTTGTCCATCGATTTCTACTTTTAGCATTTCCGATAGAGAATCGAAATCATCTAAATCTATTTCGCCGTTTTCTTCATTGTCTTTATCACTTGCCACTCCATTTTCGATAATATTATCAATATTTTCCATGGCCAAAAATTGGAAGAAATCAATTTCGATTCCATCCCAAGCTTCCAAATAATTGTTCTCTTCGATTTTCTCTCCTTTACTTTCCAATTGTTCCCTCAATCTATCCAATTCCTCATATTTACTCTTTGCTCTCTCGTAGGCTGATGATAGAGCATTTAGATCCAATTGAACGGCGAATATATCAGATCGAAGAAAACAAGTCAAAAACTGAACAGCATATTTACGAACATAAGTTGTCTTATCATGAAGTCGACCAACAACCGCTTCCATCAGAGTGTCGAGTCTCACCAATGGGATTTTTCGTTCTGTACAAAGTCGACACCAAACTTGCAAAGCTCTTCCTCGAGTGTAAGATGAAACATCAAGTAAATGTAATTCCAACTTGTTAAGAAGTTCATCTCTCAAATTCTTCTCTCGATTACTCATTTTATCTTGACTCAAGTTTTTCGAGATGATTGTACCAATAATAGAAAGTGTCGCATTTCTCATTATGTATGAATCTTGATCAAGAAACGGCAACAGATTAGCAATTGAGTTCATCATTTCATTTGGACATTTTTCACCAATTTCACAAAGAAACAATGATATCGCTCTTGGTCCACTGGTGTCTCGAGATAAATCCCTTGTGTCCACTCTTTGTACTTCTCGAATAATCTCACTGATTAGTAAACTTTGATTGTGATTTTGAACAATTGATCCAACAAGTTGTCCAAGAATAGAAACCAAATTCTCTCGATGTTGTAAAAGTTGAATGATTTTAAGACAAAAACCCAAACTTCCAGAATACTTTTCTATTGTGTATCCAATTATGTGAAAAATATTATCCATCAATGGTTTATTACGATGGAGATTTTGATTCTCAATTAATCTCCAACAACAAGATGTAACACATCTTATCAAATCATCTTCAACAAATGCTGGTTGAAAGAGTAATTGTAATGGCATCACAATCAATTTGTATATTATGTTGACACATTTTTCTCGTTCACGATCATAACCACTGATTGTCTGTTCATTTGGATTCTTTTTCTTGGCCGAGGCTCGAACATCAGTTTGTGCTAATTTATTGGCCAAAACTGATCCTTCAATTATCTCCACAAGAGAAACAACAGAAAATATCAGCATCTTAAGTGTATTACATTTCGATAGTTTCTCACAAGGATCAGTGAAACAATTTGCTCGAGGCTTTTGAAATTCACGATTCAATTCATCTTCAAGTTGAGATAAGGCAGTAAGAAGAGTTTTGAAACATGTATTTTTACACTGAGATTCCAATAACTTGAAGTTTCTGTAAAAAAAAAGTTGCAAAGAAAAAAACATCATTAGACCAGAAGAGGAACAAATAAAAACCCGATTTAAAACGAAAGAACAAAAAAAACGGAAAAGAACAAAATTTTCGCTTACTTGATGGCAGAATAGATAAAATCAAAATCATCCAAAATAAAAGCAGCTCCTTTCAATCGTATTCTGGAATTGAGGTCTAATCATCACACGAAAGAACAAAAGTAAAACAATCAAACAAGTGTCAAACAAGTGTCAACAATTAGTTAATTAGAAGAAGAAAAGAAAAGAAAAATTTTCAAAATTACCATTCAAATATTCATTCACCTCTCGGACAGAATATTGTTGGGAGACAATGTAACTACTCTCATCACTGACGGAAGTTAAATCCTCCAATTTATTTGGAATAGAAAACTTGATCATGATCACAGAACATTTAATAAAAATAGAATTTACAAAAATAAAATTGATTTAATTGTCTGTGATTTAAAAAATAAACAATTAAAAACAAGAGAAATCACTTGACTTCTGTCATAACTTAACCGCCGTTTCAATAAATTGAATTTCTATCAACAAACCGGTAAAAAGAATTTCGATTTGCTATCAACAGGTGGCAGCGTTTGTGTTCCAAGAAAAACATGGAATTTGTTTTTCCTCATTTTTTCAAATTCCAATGGAAATTTAATTAACTAAATTAATTGTTTTAGCTTTTTTAATTGTTAATTTTCTTCTAATTAGCAACTTTGCAAAGATCTGTAAGTATTTGAGGCTGGATGCTACTTGTTGGATTCCTTTTTTTGTGAAAAATCTGACTGTTTTTCTCAAGTTGATTAATTCCGATTTCTGATTTTTTTTTGTTTTTGTTTTGTTTTTCTCATTTTGGAACTTTAGATTTAATTGCTGATTTATTATGTCTAATTGTGTAGTGGATGATGATTCTTCTGGATCAGATGATGATTATATTGAAGAGCCTTTTATTGATACATCACTTGAAGGAGTTTGTCTTTTTTGTGATCAAACTGAATCTGATTGTGAAAATTTACTTGGTCATTTGAAAATTGGTCATTCATTTGATTTGAGAGAATTTGCTTCCACTCATCATCTTGATTCAATTTTATATATTAAACTAATCAATTTTATCCGATCTGCCAAATGGGTCCTGAACAAGTTGCTGGAATTATGGTTAAAGATGATTGGAAAAAGGATGATTACATGAAACCAGTTAAAGAAAATGATCTCTTATTAACTTTGGGTAAAAAATTTTCTTCTCTTCATCTTGGTGTTTATTCAGTTTTCTAATAAATTACATTTTTTTTCCAGATATTGGTGATGACTGGGATGATTCTGAGGATGTAAAGTTGACACCATCTCAACCACCTTGTGAACAACAAACTGAACTCTCAGTATTACAAGACGGAATTAGAAAGATCCAAACTTTAATCACTGACATTACCAACATGGATGATATAAGTGATTCCAATCAAAATTTAGACAATGACAGTTACTTTTTCAGTTATGCTCATCACACCATCCACTGGGAAATGCTTTCCGATCGACCACGAACTGAAACATACCGTAAAGCGATATTAGACACCGATAAATTTCTCGGAAGTTCTTGTCTTGATATCGGTTGTGGAACTGGAATTTTATCTCTATTTGCATTCAAAGCGGGAGCAAGTAAAATCGTCGCCGTTGATCAGAGTGATATAATTTATTCTGCTATGGATATTGCACAAGAAAATGGAGCTCATGATGCAATTACCTTCAAAAAAGGTAAATTAGAAGACTTGGAATTTAATGATAAGTTCGATATAATCGTTTCCGAGTGGATGGGATATTTTCTACTCTTCGAGGGGATGATTGACACCGTAATCACTGCCAGAGAGAAATATCTTAAACCAGGAGGTTTAATGTTACCCGGAAGCTGTTCAATCTTCATGGCCGCTTTGTCCAATGAAAAGATTTACAATGAACGGATTAATTTCTGGAACGATGTTTATGGATTTAAAATGACCTCAATGAAGAAAGATGTTCTCAGTGAGGTTTTAATTAAAGAAGTTAATAGTCAATCTCTTGTCAGTGATCAACTTGAGGTGAAAAAGTTTAACCTGTCAACTTGTACAATCAAAGAAGCTCAACATGTTGAAAGCTCTTTCTCATTAACAATTAACTCTTCAGGTATTGTTCATGGGCTAGTTTTCTGGTTTGATTGTTATTTCGATGGATCAAATTGTATCACATTAAGTACCTCACCACATTCACCATCAACTCATTGGAAACAATCAATTCTATTTTTCAAAGAACCAATTAATTGTAAAGAAGGTGAAAGTTTAACTGGTAAAATTGAATTATTTAGAAATTGTGATGATTTTCGAGCTCTGCGAATACAATTAACGATTGATGGTAAAGGAATTCAAAAATACATCATGAATTAGCTATTCTAATTGTAGCCAATTGATTTCACTATTTTCTTAATTTATCAATAAATTATCCAAAGAAAGTAAAAAATTGTTATCAGCCACAATTTCATCGGTTGAATTTGGTAACCGAATGAAGGAAGAGAAAGAAATGTGGGATCGACATTCACAGTCGAAAAAATCTCACCGCCATCGTCCATATTCAACATCATCTTCATCACATAAGCCTCACCGTGATCGGCATCATCGTTCATCTCGAAGTCGACATTCTAGGGATGATCCAAGAGACCATAGGAAAGAAGATGAAAGATGCAAACTTGAGGAGAACGAAAATCAGAATCAAATTATTGTTCTAAATATTTTAATAATTAAATATTTTTAAAAATATTTAAACTTATATTAGTATAGTTTTATTAGTATAGTGATTTCGATATAATATTTTTCTCATTTACTCTTACAAATAATATATATCGATGGTGGAGTTGCAACACTACAAGAGTAACTACAACATGGAAAAGTTTGTTCAATGAAATGAATTCTGTTGATTAATACCCAAAGGCATTCTGCCGGCGGTACAGCACCCTGCTATATGTTAGGCTTGTCCCCTCCCAAGTGCCTTTTAAATTCCCGATAATGTCTTTCACCCAAAACAAACAAAAAACCAAAAAAAAAGTACAAAATCGAAAAAAAACTTAAATGAGCTCATTGACAAAAAAAACAAATTAGCGTAGGGTATTAGCTGGGAAGAATTCGGGGTTAGCGCCCCCGGGTTCTTTTTTCATTATATTGGAATCGATAGATTTTTTTTTCGATTGATTAGCTGTTTCTCATTCACTCTTACAAATAATATATATCGATGGTGGAGTTGCAACACTACAAGACAGGGACAAGTTTGTTCAATGAAATGAACATGAATGAGATGTTGAGGGTGGAAAATGGAACTGGAAGGTGATCCTCATTATGGATCAACGAACTGGTAATGGAATCGATGGTTATGTTTTCAATATCTTCAATGATGAACACTGAATTTCTTTGACGATGAAGACCACATAATGATGATCGTTTTTCCTCTTGTTCGATAATTTGACTTTTTATCCATTCACCGACTCCACGAATATGAAGCCAGATAACATTTTCCATTTCTGGAGCACTACTTATGGCAAACAGATGCCATTTGGCGATATAGGGAATTTGTAGATAAATATAATCACCGGGATAAAAAATAAACTAAATAGCATTTCGAGTAATCAATGAATCAACCATTAGAACTTTTATAAATTCAATTGAATAGAAACTATTGAGTCTCTCCATGGAATGTATAGCCAAGGAAATAACTAAAGCTTCTTTGTTTGCTCGAAATTTTTGCCGCGCCTTAAAATTATCATAAACAAAGGTACAGAGGTGATTTCACTTAGAGAAATTATCAGCGCTCCCTACATAACTGAAAAGGTTAATTTCTCAAAGGTGAACTCATTCCTTTTACCTAAAGGTACTAATCCACCGGGAGGAGACTATGAAAACCGACTTTCCCTAAGTGAAATCACCTCTGTAGTTCCATCTATCAACTGACCTCATAAACAGAGTTTAGAACTCGAACTTAAAACTGAAAAACTTTTAAGCAAAAAGCTGAACGGTAGTTTTTAGAACAATAATTTGATTCTGATTGTCGTTCTCCTTAAGTTTGCATCTTTCATCTTCTTTTGTACGATCATCTAGAATGTCACTCAGATGAAGATAATCCGATCACTGATTATTGATAGATGATGTTATATGATCGGTGAGATTTTTCGACTGTGAAATCGATAATTTCTTTCTCTTTCATTCTACCAAATTCAAATGAAATTGTCTGATAATTTTACATTTCGATAATTTATTGATAAATTAAGAAAATAGTATATATTATTATTATATTTAAGATTATATTTTTTTCTTGGCCGAGGCTCGAACATCAGTTTTTTGTAATTTATTGGCCAAAACTGATCCTTCAATTATCTCCACAAGAGAAACAACGGAAAATATCAGCATCTTAAGTGTATTACAATTCCAATAACTTGAAGTTTCTATGAATCAATGGAAGGAAAAAAATAAAACCGTTGAGAGAAAATATCACAGAGAAAGAACAAAGTTAACTGTTAAGTGTCTGACCTTTAGAAATAACAATCAACCGATTATCCTGATTTGAGTGAATGATTAAACCAACCAATTTGATATTCTAATTCATTATTCAATTAAAGTGATCAGTTGAATATCCAAAATAATAGATAAACAGTCAGTCAATATATTAAATTGTTTAGTCATTTGAATAACAAGTATTGTTAACCTAAATGACATTGTTTTTATTTCCGAGCCTTGAGTTGATAAATTAAATTAAACAACAACAACAATTAATTAGTCACCCAACATGAGGGATCAATTAGTTATGATCAGCAAACACCTCGACCTTTAATTAACATTGGAGTTTTATTTTTCTGTGTTTTTCCAACAATTTGCTTACAATATCTGACAATTTGTCTTATAATACTTGACAATTAACTATCAAACTAAAACACATTTATCGAGTTTGATACTTTTGCAATTAAAGATCAAATCAATCAATGTCTCACAATTAAATTGATGAACTTGAGGATTGACTAATTAAGTGGTTGAACTTACTCTATGATCAACTTTGGTACAAAATAAATTGCAAGATAAGTATAACAATTAAACCGCAAGTAAATAACAATGAGACCAGTGAATTGATTAATTGTTGATTCCATGACAATTTATTAATCGTTGCAATAGAGCTTCAATTAAGTTGATTAATGACAAGGGCAGATGAATGATAATTATTTCGGTCAATCGCTCAGACGATTGTGATGATAAAAACTTGAATAAGACTTGAAAGTTATTAGTAGATTAGTTAATCAGTTGAATAATCGTTAACTATGAACCGATTCATTCATGGTGTTTTTAATCAAATTTCACCTCAGGAATCGTTGGAATCGTTACTGTCACCATGTATATTGTAGTTATCGGCAAAGGGTCAAATTGTTGGGTCAATCTGGAATCACATGTAATATGTTCAGTTACAGGGACACGTTTTTTCACTGGAAGTTTTATATTCAATGTTTATGAATTTCCTTGAACCTTTAAAACTTTGACAATTCCCTTGTTCTTAAAGCTCAATCTAGTATGACAATCAAATGACCTTGAAACTCTATCCATACAGAATGACCAGAATACTATTCAAATGTGACAATTTCATATCTGATGAAATGTCATAATTCAATTCTGAGGTGTAAATGTTCAAAGGCAAAAAAGTTACTGAGAAAGAAAAACTTTCAGCAAACTGAAACTGTTCATTGAAATTAAAGATTCACTCTTATTATGTGATGATTAAGTTGATTGAAAATCGAAAAATTAATTGTTTGGGAAATGGGAATTTAATTATAATCAGAAATAATGAAGGTACAATTTAGTTAATTAGTATCAACCTTAGAGATGATTCCATGTTCTTTTGGATGAAGCCAAGCATCAATTTTACGATAAATTGGATTGTCCTTGACTAAGAAAATTAATTTGATTGTTGAATAATGAACAATATGATTGAGAGAGAGACAAAAAAATTAATTACAATTTGTACTTGATTAACTATCGTAAAAGTAAATTCCAATCGATTTCCTATTGATTGGAATTGTAATTGTTAATTATCAGCGGAGGGGAAATATTGTTAAATTTTATCGTAAATTAAACTTACATATTTTATCAAAACTGATCGATGATGATATTGATTGATTATCGGCCTTAGGTCGTTTATTTGGTGTCGAATCGTCAACCAAAGATGAATAGTCCATATTATCGTGGTCAACATTTGATGGGTCAAGTTTTTCATACGTTGATTTCATCTTGTTGACCGATAGCCGATCAATTGTATCAATGAAAAACGATTTAGGAGACATTGATTGTTTTCTATTCTAAAACAATTAGAGTAACAAAATAATATCAACACTGAGAAAATGATGAACAACAATTAACCACAGTTAGAGATTAATAATTTGATACACTAATTGTAATTATAACGATGGTGGTGAAGATGAAGGTATCACAAGGAATTAAGGTTAACTAATATTTGTTGCGAATAATTTGTAAAGTAATTAGACAATTGATTGGATCACAATCAATGGAAAATAAAATAACTTTCAGAGAGAAAATAAATTGCTAATGATAACCATTGAATTTAGAAGTTACAATGAGAAAAAAAAATTGAACAACAATCAGCAGAATTAACAATTGGCAAAGGAAAACAATCAACTGACAATGACGGACATTAATCGGTGAAACTAATTGATATCAAACTGAATCAACTTGATTAGTGACTTTGATTTGATTTACAGTTTTTTTTTTCGTTGTTCATTAAACGACACCAACAATCCAATGATTACTTTTTCTCTCTGACAATTAACTGTGAGTTTTCATTTTCTATTCATTTTTAAATTATGTCACATCTTTTCTCTCTCTCTCAAGTTAATCAACTGATTGTCGTTTACAATTTTCTGGTTAATTGGAAACAAATCAATCAAATCAATCACGATTTACACTTCTAAGGTCAAATTGATTGAGATTATTTTCTCCGTCATCTAAATTTCTTATCAAAGGAATTAAATTAATTGTAATTGAAAGAAAGTTCATTAAATTGTTGCCAATTTAAAAATCTCTTCTCATTTTCTCCTTTCATCCTGAAATCCTTTCTTACAAGCCAACACCAGTCAGTCTCTACCAATTTTAACTCATTTTCCATCAATGTGACAATTAAAATGAGAAGAAATTAACTAATGATGATAATCAATTTTTTCTCTCAAATTTGAATCGCGCGCCCAAAGAACAGCAAATCTAAGCCAAGAACTGTTTCCATGTTGATATAAACAAGATTCTGTTTTCGGATTATCCGAATCGGATTGTTTTCATCTTTAATTGATGGTAATTTTTAAATTGTTTGGTTTATTTTCTCATTGTTTTAGTTAATTATGTTTCTTTCAAACGACTATGAATCGTAAATTATCGAAAGAAGGTAAAAAATTGTTATCTGCTACAATTTCATCGGTTGAATTTGGTAACCGAATGAAGGAAGAGAAAGAAATGTGGGATCGACATTCACAGTCGAAAAAATCTCACCGCCATCGTCCATATTCAACATCATCTTCATCACATAAGCCTCACCGTGATCGGCATCATCGTTCATCTCGAAGTCGACATTCTAGGGATGATTCAAGAGACCATAGGAAAGAAGATGAAAGGAGAAAAACTCGAGGAGAAAGACAACCAGAATCAACAAGAGAATCAACTAGAGAATCGACTAGAGAATCAAATTATTATTCTAAAAAACCACCGTCTAATGAATCTGATGTAAATAAGAAATCTACTCATGGTGATAGAGAATCTGATGATAGGAAGAGGAAAATATTCGTCCAAGATGTGGAAATGTCAGATGATGGAGAAGATAAAAGTGAAGTAGATGATTTAAGTCATGATACAGCTTCTCATCCAAGTGGAGATGCAACAACCGATGAATGTGTAGATGATATTATAAGTCCTGCGAGAACAAGTGAAGAAGATGAAGACCAAGACGAAAATAATGTTACACCAAAGAATGATGACGATGATGAAGATAATGCAGATAATGATGATGACGAAGGTGGTGGTGGTAGTGAAGATGAAGATGACGATTCATTGACATACGAACCTGTTGAAGATAAAGGTGAATCAACGCCTGAATTGAAAGAGAAAAGTTCAAAGAAAGAATTAGATAAAGATAAAGAAGGTGAGGTTTCAATAGAAACTGAGGAACCCAAGAAAGATGAACGACCCTCTTATTATCCCGCAATTCAGGGCTGTCGAAGTGTCGATGAATTTGAACGATTAAACAAAATCGAAGAAGGAACTTACGGAGTTGTTTACCGTGCTGAAGATAAACGATCTGGTGAGATAGTTGCTCTTAAACGAGTTAAAATGGAGAAAGAAAAAGAAGGATTTCCGATAACTTCGCTGAGAGAGATCAGTACTCTTCTTAAAGCAGCTCAACATCCGAATATTGTGAGCGTTAAAGAAATAGTTATCGGCAGTAACATCGATAGTATATTCATTGTTATGGAATATGTTGAACACGATTTGAAGAGTTTAATGTCCACGATGAAACGACCCTTCACCTTAGGGGAAGTTAAAACTTTGATGTTACAATTATTAAGTGCGGTCGCTCATCTTCACGACAATTGGATTTTACATCGAGATTTAAAAACATCTAATCTATTATTTAGTCACAAAGGTATCTTAAAGGTGAGTCTTAATCTGCTTTGATTTCAATCAAATGGTTAACTTTTCATTTTATTTTCTCAATTCCTCAGGTGGGTGATTTTGGGTTAGCTCGAGAATATGGTTCTCCTCTTAAAGCTTATACACCGATCGTGGTCACACTTTGGTATCGATCTCCTGAACTGTTGTTACAAACGAAAGAGTACTCATGTCCCATCGATATTTGGTCAGTTGGATGTATTTTTGGTGAATTGTTGACGATGAAACCGTTATTTCAAGGGAGAACCGAAATGAATCAACTTGACATTATTTTTGAATGTTTGGGAACACCGAATGAAAAAATTTGGCCTGGTTACTCTGAATTACCTTTACTGAAAAAGGTTTCATTCTCTGAACATCCTTACAATAATTTAGTTAAACGGAAACTGGATAAAGTTAATTTAAGTGCCAAAGGTCTTGACCTTATCAACAGATTTTTAGCTTATTGTCCAGAAAGACGAATCACCGCTGAAGAAGCAATTAAACACGATTTTTTCAACGAAACACCCAAACCATTAGATCCCTCAATGTTTCCAACATGGCCAGCGAAAAGTGAACAAGGATTAAATCGAACACAAAAATCGAAAAGTCCAAAACCTCCTTCTGGAGGTAAACTTTTCTCCAAACAATTAGCCACCGATGATGATGAAAAATTTGTGGGCTCAACACTTGGGTTGGCATCAACATCAACCTCAGGATTTCACATGGGATCAGCGGCCGCTGGTAAAGCGGCTAAAAGTGGTTTCAGTCTGAAATTTTAATCAAAAATCCAAAAGCCAAAATGTAGCAAATGAGATTTGCTTTAACAATTAATCCATTCTCAACCATTGACTTTTTTTTAAACAAAACAAACTAACGATGTATTTATAATTGTAAAGTGTTATTTTTCAAATGATAATCAACTCGATAACTTGTAAAATCTTGATAAAATGATTATTTTCTGTAGGAACAAAATTAATGTAAAGAATGACAAATCAACTATCAATTCATTTTGATACAAACGAAAACAGATCGCTTAACTTTCATTTGATTTCGGATCTGATTACAAAACAGTTGATGATATGTTTATAAACATAATTATATTTATGATAAATTGGTAGAAATTGATACAAATTATGTGATAATATTTACAAAATGAATCAACTTGTCTAATTGAGAGCCTACCAAATACTTTGGTATTTGTTTCCATATAACATACGAAAATTTCGTGATACTTTGATAGTCTTCTTTGAATAATAACAATGTTGGTAAATAAAATATTTGACGAAAATATTTAGAATTAAATAACTCAAGTTGATTGATCTTTGGCCGAGATCACAGTTTTTTCACTCTCGTTTTCTTCTTCATCTTCATCGTTTTCCTCTTCATCTCCTTCTTCTCCATCTTCTTTCGCAATTTCATCTTCATCAACTCCTTTGTTCTTTGCCTGTTTCAGTTTCGTCTCAAATTCCTCTAACATTTGTTTCGTTTCGTTTTTAAGACCTGTTGTTTTCTTTGCATTTGTGACAATCGACATGAACAATTCGTAAACTGCTGCAACCGATACTTTGTCAGCGAAACAGGAAAAGTTTTCGAATAGTTTGGTGATTGATTTATCGGAATACTTGAGTAAACTCAGACAGAAGGATAAATCAACCCATTGTCGCTCATTTCTGTGGAAAAGGTAATAAGAACAAAAAAAGATGATTAGAACCACTGACCGAAATCATTTGAGAAATTAAAGAAACTTACAGAGTGTTTTTGAATCTTTGGCACATTTTCTCTAAGAGACCAATAGTATGACGTTCCTTGTCAATGAGTTCGAACAGGAAACGCATGATGGTTCGGAAATCGTTCTCTTCAATTCCAACCTTCGAATCTGATAGATTACTGATTATATCAGGTAACACATTGTAGACAGCGTTTAGCTTCTTGCTTAATTGGGTGAAAAACAACTTAGCACTACAAGAGACATGTTCTTGTGGGTCAACCATAAGTTTTGCAATCTCACTGATTTGATCTTGTACTTTAATCATGTCAGATAAAATCAATCGTGAGATCACTTTGAGTGCATTGGTGCGGACCAAGACACAATCATCTTGTAATGATTGATATAAATGGGAAGTCCAAGGTTCCAAAAGGTTAGGAAATCGGACACATAAATCACCAACTGCGATAATGGTATTAGATCGGATTGCAGGATCTTCGGCTTTCTTGAGAATTGTGATCAATAAACGAATATTGTTCTTACAAAAGTTCTCACTAATGGCCATCATTTTTGCCAATGTGAGACTTGCAGCAGATTTTAATTGTTCATGAGGATAATTTTTAGGATCACTTGCTACTTTGACTACAATTCGAGACAATTTAGCGAGTAGATTTTCATTCTTGTCATGAGGATCAACAATCTCGGAATTACAAAGAGACGCAATGAATTCAGCTTCAGCATCTTCTGCTGAAACAACTCCTGTTAATCCTAATTCATCATCATCTTCATTTAAACCGACACCTGTTGATCGTCTTCCTGATGATTTCCTCCTACTCATTGAAATTACAGTTTGTGATAAACTTTTTCTGTTGCTTCTTTCCTCTTTAATTGCATTTCTTGTCTTTAACTCGGTGAAAACATTAACTTCCAAATGAATTAAAAGATTCATTGCAACTGAACCAATACAGTGAATGAAACGAGCTAATATTTGCGGGGAAATCATAATTGGATCAGCTTTGTGAGAGACATTTGATGATAAAGTGGAGCCTTGACTAGATGCAAAGACTTCATTTTCAATCTCTGTATCATCTGAAGACATTGAAATTTTCTTGGACTTAGATTGTTTGTATTCCATGAGATGACGAATCATTCCATATAAAATTTCTTCGGCGATCGTATCTGGATGTTCAGCTAAATTGAATATAACTTTGAAAGCTTCTTCACACATTGGTAACCATCCTTGAGATTCAATACGAGGAAATGTTTCAACTACTATTTTGACTATACTTTCGAATACCGGATGTGATTTCAAAAGGCGATATGGAAGTTCATCGGTCACGATCCTTTCCTGGTTGGTGACTGCTTTAGAAAGAGCAGAACAAGTGTAACGAGCGAGTTGGAGGTCAGTTAGAGCTCTTTCTCCAAGACCCACGGAAACAAGAAGATCAAGATTTTTACGAATCAATTGTGGATTAGAACTTGCTAACATCGATATTAATTGAATACAAATTCGACTCTCTTCTTCGGTTGTTTGTCCAGATCGAAGTGAAAACTTGTCCCAAAGTAATTGGATCACATGTTTATCGAAACTGTTTGTTGATGACATTTCTCGAAGAAGCTCTTGTAGTGAGATTATCTCATCCAAATCTGATCCTTTAACCAATTCAACCAATTTACTCACAATTGATTTTGCTTTTTCGAGTCCAGTTTGTTCAGCATTTTCAGGTGCTTCGAACAATATCCTCTTATAAGCTTCGATCACTTCTTTTTTTGTTCCATCAGTTGAAAAGATTAAGATGATCATTTTTCGCAATCCAACTTGTGCTTCCTCTTTTATACCAAATTCGTAAGCAGTAACCAAAAGTTGATTGCTTCTTGTACATCCTGTATGTTTTTAGAGTAAAGTAATGTACAAACTGCAGGTACTGAAGATCGAAGGTACTTCGTCACAGTAATGATATCACGTAAATACAAGAGGAGACTTTTTTGCTTCTCAATCGATTGCATCAATTTTTCCAAAGATTCTTCAGTCTTTGTTTCGTTCAAAGTTGAATTAGTTTCTTGTGATCGCGAATTGGAAACCACTCGACTTATCTCTCCCCTCATAGTCTCATCACCAAGTTCATCGTTCTTATTCTTGGACAATTCTAAGTAAATGCTTTTACAGAATTTCACAATTTTCATGGCACGAAAATGAGCCAATCCGAGTCTTCTTCTATATGCTCATCAGTATCTTCTTCTTCACTTTTGTTCTCATTATCAGTGTCATTTTCATCGGCACTTATGTCATCACATTTTGATGTTTTCCTTCTTTTTCTGGTTCTCATACTTCGTTGACGTTCCTTCCTCTTCGGTTTCACTTCCTTCTTTTTCTCTTTTAAGTCTTCAGATTTTGAATCTTGTTCTTCATCGTCTTTAAAAGCTTCGTTATCAGGAAACTTTTCTTTCATCAATGCATAAAGTTGAACAGCTCTGTTGAAATTTTGTCCATCGATTTCTACTTTTAACATTTCCGATAGAGAATCGAAATCATCTAAATCTATTTCGCCGTTTTCTTCATTGTCTTTATCACTTGCCACTCCATTTTCGATAATATTATCAATATTTTCCATGGCCAAAATTGAAGAAATCAATTTCGATTCCATCCCAAGCTTCCAAATAATTGTTCTCTTCGATTTTCTCTCCTTTACTTTCCAATTGTTCCCTCAATCTATCCAATTCCTCATATTTACTCTTTGCTCTCTCGTAGGCTGATGATAGAGCATTTAGATCCAATTGAACGGCGAATATATCAGATCGAAGAAAACAAGTCAAGAACTGAACAGCATATTTACGAACATAAGTTGTCTTATCATGAAGTCGACCAACAACCGCTTCCATCAGAGTGTCGAGTCTCGCTAATGGAATTTTTCGTTCTGTACAAAGTCGACACCAAACTTGCAAAGCTCTTCCTCGAGTGTAAGATGAAACGTCAAGTAAATGCAATTCCAACTTGTTAAGAAGTTCATCTCTCAAATTCTTCTCTCGATTACTCATTTTATCTTGACTCAAGTTTTTCGAGATGATTGTACCAATAATAGAAAGTGTCGCATTTCTCATTATGTATGAATCTTGATCAAGAAACGGCAACAAATTAGCAATTGAGTTCATCATTTCATTTGGACATTTTTCACCAATTTCACAAAGAAACAATGATATCGCTCTTGGTCCACTTGTGTCTCGAGATAAATCCCTTGTGTCCACTCTTTGTACTTCTCGAATAATCTCACTGATTAGTAAACTTTGATTGTGATTTTGAACAATTGATCCAACAAGTTGTCCAAGAATAGAAACCAAATTCTCTCGATGTTGTAAAAGTTGAATGATTTTAAGACAAAAACCCAAACTTCCAGAATACTTTTCTATTGTGTATCCAATTATGTGAAAATATTATCCATCAATGGTTTATTACGATGGAGATTTTGATTCTCAATTAATCTCCAACAACAAGATGTAACACATCTTATCAAATCATCTTCAACAAATGCTGGTTGAAAGAGTAATTGTAATGGCATCACAATCAATTTGTATATTATGTTGACACATTTTTCTCGTTCACGATCATAACCACTGATTGTCTGTTCATTTGGATTCTTTTTCTTGGCCGAGGCTCGAACATCAGTTTGTGCTAATTTATTGGCCAAAACTGATCCTTCAATTATCTCCACAAGAGAAACAACAGAAAATATCAGCATCTTAAGTGTATTACATTTCGATAGTTTCTCACAAGGATCAGTGAAACAATTTGCTCGAGGCTTTTGAAATTCACGATTCAATTCATCTTCAAGTTGAGATAAGGCAGTAAGAAGAGTTTTGAAACATGTATTTTTACACTGAGATTCCAATAACTTGAAGTTTCTATAAATGCAATGGAGGGAAAAAAAGAAGAAAAAAATAAATACAACCGTTGAGAGAAAACATACCAGAGAAACACTCACTTGATGGCAGAATAGACGAAATCAAAATCATCTAAGATAAACGAAGATCCTTTCACCTTCAGCTTGGAATTAATTTCTGCAAAAAGAAAACGAAATCCGATAATTAATCAGTTATCAGTTTCAAAAAAAGTAAACAATCAAATTTTTACCATTCAAATATTCATTGACTTCCCGGACCGAATATTGTTGCGAGACAATATAACTACTCTCATCACTGACAGAGGTTAAATCTTCCAATTTATTTGGAATCGAAAACTTAATCATTTTAATTCGAGAAACACATTAATCGAAAATCGAAATGAAAAAAATGAGTCTAAACAATCAAAACAAAAAGAAAACTGATCACCAGAAGCGCGAATACAAAATAAGTTAACTGCTTTTTCTTAAAATTCCACAGGTGGAGACACTTTGCAATGGAAGATTTTCCCTAATCAGTTGTTCCTAATCCAAGATGTTTTTTAATCTCAATCCTTTAATCTTGTTTTTCCAATAATTTTGAAACCTTTTTAATTAACTTTCAGTGGAAAAGTGCAAAGGTTTAAAATAAATACAAGAAAGGATAATGATGGAAACCATTACTAAAGATCTTGCTGATTATATTGAGCAACGTGTTAATGAAGCTATGATACCAAAGGAGGAAAAATTAAAGAAATTGGAACAAGATAAAGCTCGTTTAATACGATTAACATCTGAATTAAAGAATGAGATAAAAAACATGAGAATAACTGTTTCCATGTATGAGAAAAGGATGAATAATCCATTAAAGAAGATTAATTCAATTGAAAATAAATGTGTTGGCTGTGATTTCAAAATTAATTCACCGGAAATGGTTGATGTTGTCGAAGTGGTTAAAGTGGTTCCATCAACAACAACAATAACTCCATCTGTTGCCTATTCGAACAAATGAAACAAATTCTTTTCTCTTCTAAATGGAAACCGGAAACGGAAAAAGTAATTTCATTTATTCGCCATGTTTATGTTCAATGGGGAGAAAAAAAGTTCTCCCCTTCCATTAACCAATAGGAAGAAAGGAAAAGTGTCTCCATCTATTGTAATTACCTTGAGAAAATTAAAAGGTTTTCTTTTGGCTTTAATTTTGCTGTTTCTCTTTCATTTCATTTTTCTCTTTTCAACTTTAAACGTGTCGAATTTTTTTTCTTCCTAGTTTTTGTTTGAGTTTTCATTAATTGTTCTCTTTGTAATTCACACATACACAACATGTCATATCGAAGTTATTCTGGTGGTTATTCTAATGGTGGGGGCTATTCCAATGGCGGTGGTTATCGTGGTGGAGGCTCTGGTGGTGGAGGTGGTGGCGGTGGTGGATACCGAGGTAATAATCCTGTGCTTGCTAAGCCTCCAGCCAACATGCTTGTTTTAAATGACTTCTACACTGGTGTTGCTGTTCGTAACAATTATCATCTTGATGAGGTTAATTTGTTTAGATCAAAGGAAGGTATTACCACTAGAGGTAATGATGTACCGGTTCCCATTATGAATTTTGGTGATTATCCATGGCCCAAGTTTATCTCTGTTGGTTTTGAGAGACAAGGTTATGATAAACCTACACCTATTCAAGCACAAGGTTGGCCCATTGCTTTAAGTGGACGGGACATGGTTGGTATCGCCCAAACTGGTAGTGGAAAAACTCTTTCATATATTATCCCTGCTTTTATTCATATTGAGTCACAATTTAATGAACGAAGAGGTAAAATGCGTTTTTGTTATATCTTTCTTTTTCTTCTATATCTCTTGCGTCATAGATTCATATTATTGAACTTGCTCACTCACTTGTGTTACTCATTGTTCCTTCTATTTTTTTCTTCTAAACAATGTTACTTTTTTTTGTTCTGATTTTTAGATTTCGGACCAATGGCTTTGGTTCTTGCCCCGACAAGAGAGCTTGCACAGCAAATCCAAGAAGTAGTAAACAATTTCCAAACCCGATTCTCCAGTATCTGCGTATTTGGCGGAGCATCAAAAGGCCCACAAATCAAAGAGATTCATCGTAATAGGCCCATGCTGGTCATCGCCACTCCAGGTCGATTGAACGATTTTATTGAAAGCGGTATACTTAGTTTAGCAAATATAAGTTTTCTTGTTTTAGATGAAGCCGATCGTATGTTAGACATGGGTTTTGAGCCCCAAATTAGAAAAGCTATTTCACAAATTACTTTGGCTAAAAGGCAGACCCTCATGTGGTCAGCTACTTGGCCAAAAGAAGTTCGTACCTTAGCTGAAGATTTTCTTCAAAATTATATTCAAATTAATGTTGGTGCTCTTCAACTTCATGCTAATCATAATATAACACAAATTGTTGATATATGTGGTGAAATGGAGAAAAAAGAGAAACTGTTCAGTCTTCTCACTGAGATAATGCGTGAAAACCGTGAAAATAAAATCATAGTTTTTGCCGAGACCAAGAGAAAGGTTGATGACCTTACTAAGCAATTACGATACTCTAATTGGCCTGCCATGTGTATACATGGTGATAAAAGCCAATCTGAAAGGGATTGGGTTTTGAAAGGTGAGTCAACAATAACCATTTTATCTATTGTTTATTTATGGTCTCTTTTTTTGTTATGTTATAGTCTCTCTTTTGTATTGATTTTTAATTTTTGTTTTCTTTTTCATTTTTTTTATCTAAACAGAGTTTAAAACTGGACATTCTCCCATCTTAGTAGCAACTGATGTTGCTGCCCGAGGACTTGGTAAGACATAAGTTTACTTTTTGACCCATGATTCAAAGGAGTAACGGTAAGTAAGTTGTTCCTTTGGGTCAAAATTCATTCAATATTTGGATGCTTTATTCAAAAAGTGCTCTTTCATTCATTGTATTTTCTTCTATATTTATCTTGACAAAAATTTCTCTTCATCTACTCTATTTTAGAGTGCGCGTAATTTAGCTTAAATTAATGCTTCTGTTTTTCTTTCCTTTCCTCTCTATCACCTTTTCTTTTTCATATTAACCTTTATTATTTTCTATAGATGTTGAAGACATTAAATATGTTATCAATTATGACTATCCAAATACTAGTGAAGACTATGTTCATCGGATAGGTAGAACTGGACGAAAAAATAAAAAGGGCACTGCGTATACCTTTTTTACCAAAAGTGATTCTAAACAAGCTAACGATTTAATCAATGTTCTCAGAGAGGCAAATCAAACAGTTAATCCTCAACTGTTTGAATTTGCCCGAACTGGAGGAGGAGGACTAGACAAATATCGTCAAAGGTACAAAACCAAAACTGGCTTCATTCCAAAGAATAGTTTCAGAGGTGGATTCGGAGGAAGGTCAAACGATGGGAACAATTATCCACAAAAGAGAAAATTTGATTCCTTTGATTCTGCGTCTAATGCCAAGAAGGCTCATTTTGATTATTAATCTCTCTCTTTCTCTCTCTCTCTTTATCTCTCTTTTTTTCTTTTTTCTCTTTCTCATACAAGTAACTTCGAGAAAAAATTTTCGACATCTAATTAATCAACCAGTTGATCAGTTTATAATTCGTTCAACTAATTTATCTTAATCAAAATAAAACAAAAACATCTCAACATTATGAATAAAAAACCTTAAAAAATATCATTACTTTCACTTGTTAGCACACTTGAAACATTTCATATTTCGATTGATTGAATGACAATCAATTGGAATCAAATTGATGCCAAATCCACTGAAAACGCGACAATTTAATGGTCTTGTTCTAAGAAAATCAGTTAATCACAATTCAGGAGAAATTGGCAACATCACAGAGGCATAAAGGTTAAGTACAAATACTTGTTGATTAATCAATTAATTAGCTAATTGATTTTCAGCATGAAAAAGAATATTAAGTAACCATAAGGTTACGACGAAAGACACCAGATGGCTCATCAGAATTCGTGATTTGTATTGACTGAATTTCTCTAAAGAAAAGTTTTTCATCTACAAGTCGCCACAACAACCATTCGCTTCTCATTCAGCTCACAATCAAGGTAAACAATTAAGTGAATTAAGTTGAATCATTAGCGATTGTAATCAACTATAACCGTAACCATTAACATTGACATCTAACTAATAATTAGTGTATTAGTATCAAGATATTAATCATTATCTTAAATGTACATCAATGTACCTCCTCTGGTAACAATTTAATAATATTGTTGATTGTTTGACAGTTAAATAAGTTAATGAATTAAAGTACAACAACAACAGTAACAATAATCTCATGTCAATCATTAGTTTGAAAATTTCAAGACTTAGAAAATATCAATTAACTAGATGATAGAAAACGAGACAACAATCAAATTAAATCACATTGACAGTATTGTTGTTATCTAAATATACAAGATGAAACTAATGAATATGATTAACTTTTCATTTATAACCAATTATATAATATGATTGTGATTGAAATGAGAGATAATAGATGTCACGACTAATTTTGAACATTTCGAGTCTACAAGTAAGTTGAGGGTCGATACGAAAAGAGACAAAGATCCACTATTTTGTCCACACATTACACTTGTGAGCATTCGGATTGCACATGAGAAATAGTAACAAATAAGTCGACGAAAAGTTATGAAACTACTTCAAGATTTTTCGTTAGTATTAAACTTTTAAATGTTCAAATTTTGCTCATTCGATGATCCAAATTGTTGCTGCTTCTAAATGTTTCGAAATGTTGATCAAGACACTTATGACTTTTGCTATTTTTTTCAACGATTTTTATTGCATTGGAGCTAATAGAGTGTCAATTGGTCGAGGGCTAAACGATGAAATCAACAACAACCCCAAAAGTCATTCAAACTTAAGGACCAAGGAGAAGAAAATTCTAGATGAGATTATCGGTGATGGTCGATATGATAATCGGATTAGGCCAAGTGGATTTAATTATTCAGTTGATGGTTCCGATGATGGAAATGGTAAGTGTTCAATTTTCATATTCACAATCAACTAGTTAATATCGATTGATACAAAGTATGGAAAGTAAATCAGAAAAATCGTAACTTTTCATTTGATTGTTATGATAATTATGTTTACTATTTATTAATCTCTTTGTATTTGAAATTGGATACAAATAATTGTTGATAAAAGTTAATTGATTCGAGTCAACAATTAAAACCAATAATCAAAGTTAATGATATAATTCAATTTAAATCATCAAGTTACACAATTAAATGTTCCGATTTCAGGAAAAAAACAGTCTGTCTAACGAAATATGATATCTAATCAATAATCTCATTAATAATCATTCATTTCTCTTTCCATTTTTAACTTGGACGTTTTCTTTGTCGTGTTGATTGTTGGCAAATTGGAATCACTTCATCTGATGAATTTCATCAATCCGTGTAGATGGACCTTGTTTTGTTGTGGTCAACATATTTTTAAGAAGTATAAGTAAAATTAGTGATCTCGATATGGTAAGTCAGCCATTGTTTTCATTATTTCCTCGATTTTTCCATCATCACATAGTCTTAATCATTCTGAGTTTCATTATGATTTGAGAATTGAATATATGTTATATTCTTGTTTTCTTTTCGAATCTTTGTCCAGATCATCTACCTGGTTTGAAGGTTGAATTGTTATTGATATGCTTCCGACTCTCTCTCTCTCTTTGTCACTTCCGAATCTATTTACATTTACTATATTCCGCCGGATATTCAATTTATCTCGAGCAAAAAATATTGAATATTCAGGGTAAAAATCAGTTATTCTTATCCAATTTGTCAGCAATAGAGAGAAGAAAGAAAATCACCAACCTTCAATATCTTAGGGAGAAAAATATTGCTGATTTCCAATTTTATCCGTTGAAAGAACTAATTTTTTACCTTCGAATCAGAGATAGGAATAAAGACCGTTTATCAATACCTTCGTATTCATAGTATTTTTCATGATAACTCATGAATGTTATGAACAAATCTTTTCATGTATTCATGTGCCATCCATCTACAAATTCATTTGTTTCAATCAAATCACCTTAAACATGATAATAGTAGCTTATGATTCACAAGAGAGAGAGAGAGAGAGAGGGTAACAGTTGATATAACGAAGATACTGAAAAATTTTAACAGAACTTTTTATTTATTCATCTCTCTTTTATCCCTTCAAACCCTGAAGATTACTTTTAAAAACTCACGAGAAATCATCTGAATCTATTTTTATTTTATTCCATCAAGTGCAAAAGAAATAATAATATTGTTACATAGATAAATATCCAAGAGGTTAAATGAACAGTTATATTGTATTTATATGATAGTTGAAAGGTAGAAATATTTGTTACCTAAAAAAATTGGATATCACTCTCACGGAAATGCTTCATTCATCATGCAGAGATTATTTTGTATTCATAATCTTTATTTGAGACTATTAAATTCAGTACTATTATCTACAGAGATATTCATGTTTGATAATAGACAGAATGTTGATGCTAATTAGTAATGGTAATTGACATTGGCTCAATTAAATATTAATATTCTGTCTCCATGTCCGATAATTTTTCATTGAGATTTTTACTTTTCTCTCTCTCTCTACTCTCCAGGAATACTCAGTCCAGATAACTTTTCGTGAGGAATGGCGAGATGAAAGGTTACAATATAATGACAATAATGAGCAGATAAAATTTCTAACACTAACTGACCCAAATAGAATATGGAAGCCAGATTTATTCTTTTCCAATGAGAAAGAGGGTCATTTCCATACAATCATAATGCCCAATGTCCTTCTAAGAATTTATCCTGATGGTTCAGTTCTCTATTCAATCAGAATATCACTTTTACTCGCCTGCCCCATGGATCTTAAATACTATCCACTTGATGAGCAGGAATGTTACATGAGAATGGCAAGTTGTAAGTATATCAATTTATTAATTCATTTTGATGACATGATAAACATTATTGATTCCATTTACATGATTATCTTTCTCTCTCGCAATAATATCTGAGGTGTTTGATTATTTTTGACATGAATGTAATGAAACAATTCACATCAAGTGAAAACTTATCACATTCAGGCTAACTTGTTATCATTTATTATCCATTTTTAATATAAAACATTAATGATAATATGAATCTAGACGATTTCGTATTCAGATAATTCAAATTTTCTACTCCCAACTTGTCGTTACTATTTTCACACCTTTGACCCTCCTCATACTGACCATTCTTGTAGATTATTTCCAATTTTAACTTTTCTCATTCTCCTGATTTAACATGATGATTATCAATCAGATTTATATGAGATATTTCTGAATAATAGCTATTATATATTATTAATAATAACATACAAAACTGTTGAGAAAGACAAAAGTTATTATTAATACTTGACACTCCCAATGATTACACTTCAATACTTATCCATTGATAAGTGAATATCTTTTGACATCATTATCATTATGATGCATCGTAATGATAATCATCACCCTGTTTATCCTCCTCTTTTTTGAATATATTATTAGAATTCAACTTATACACTTTTACCCATTCGATTGATATTTTTTTTCCTAGCATTTCTATTATCTTTAGATTCTTACTGAACACTCAATCAACCAGAATTATGAAAATCATCACTTTGTTTATCATGTTGAGCCGATAATTTATTGAAAAATATCATCAACTATACAGATTATTATTATCATAATAATGAAAGTTAAGATTGACCAAAGGAGGGAAAAAAATAACAAAAGACAAATTTGATAAACATTGACCAAGAATTTGCTAGTATCCATCAGAATCATGATATTGATTGGACTGAACTTTGATTCTGTAAGATTTATCTTACAATTAGTAAACAATTCATGTTACCTTGATTATTATCATTTGTATCAATTGTCATTGACAAGTGAATCATTACCATTAATGTAAATTGTCACAGTCAATTTGAATGATATTTGTATGATTTCACCTTTACGATTGTTGTTGTTTTCCTAAATATCCCATTTAACATACAATATAAACAATGATGATGATGATGATAATTCAATCCAATGGTATATTTAATCCAGTTGAGTAGTTTCTGTGGTAAAAAAAACTATTCAGTTTATGGTAAAAATTTTTACTTTCCCTTTATTGACTTCGGGTCGAGTTCTAAGTTTTCATCATCATCATTCATCTCAATTGACTTTATAAGCTGATCAAAAGAGATGGAGAAACAATTAAGTTTTCAATAATGTTTAAGAAGCAAGACTACTAAATCTAATCATGTTCTTAATGGTTGTGAGTACAGAATTAAAATTAATAGTTGATTGTCACCATGTTGAGTATTAACTGCAATCCAATCTCTTACAGTTTTCCAATGGTTACCTGTAGATTTACATGGTAATCAAATTGAATTGGATCATTAGTTATATTCCTCGATGGCAGAACTTTTCTTTTGGAAAATTCATATATTAGTATGTAAAAATAGTCCAGGTTATTGTAGATAAAGGATATTATAAGATTTCCTTCGGATTCTGGTAGAAAACAACTGTTAACCGAATTATTGAATTCCAAGTCCCATGTAAGTTTTGATCGTTTTCATGGATAAGATTTAAGTTCATTTTTCTATGGCAAAAGAATCAGAAAATGTTTGTGAACAATTGAATCTGATTATGATGATTTTTATGGTGTAACTGAAGCCATCAGAGTTTTAAGAGAATGAAGAAGAAAAAAACTCAAATATCATAAAGATAATCATGCTGAACCATTGTAATAATATCTGTTCCTGTTTTCTGTTCAATTATTCAAATGATGAGATGATATTTGCTATGATAATATTAATCTATCATGAAAGATGATTATGATGATGAGGATCATAATCATCACAGTTAGAGTGAACAGTGAAAAAAAAACTCTATTGAATAGGGAAAAAATGTTATTCTAATATTACATAATCTCAAGCATCAGAGTTTTCAAGAACTTTGCTCGGATCAAATTCTCAAAGTATCGATATTTCAACTCATTTTTTATACTTCTGTTATCATTGAACAATATTCAGGGAGTTTGACCAAGTTTCCAACAAGTTTTCCATACACAGCTCTTTCTTCAGCGAGTATTCAGGCTCTAGAATTCAGTTATCGGAGTTGAGGCTATAGTCAATTCTCACATTTAAATTTCAATGTCATTCCGGTCATACAGTTTTATTTGGCGTTGTTTAGAAAATCATGAAACTCAAAAAAGAGTCTGTATTCAAGGCTAATTTTTGCTGAAGAGAATGATTTTTTTGAATTTTTGGATAGACAATAAAAATAATACAGGGTGACAATGATTATGTGACTTTTTTGACCCTTTTGTGTGTTTCATCGAGATTTTTTTTGTGTTTCAATGCGTTTTTCAATAGGATAACACTGACCAGTCTCATACTCGAGTATACAGGCGTTGGAAATAGAGTCCAAGTAAGACAACTCAGGTTGTTTTTCACACATATTTTGAGAACTAAGGACACGCGATTGAGCAGAGGTCAAGATATTAATTTTGGTGTTTTTATCATGAAGATTAAACTTTTGTGTTTAAATACGAAATAACTGAAAGCAATTAGAAATGGTTCACATGGCAACCTTAAACGGCCTTTCAATGCGTTCTTCGAAGAATGGCCTCAATGACCTTGAAAACGTAATGCCAAGCACTAAAATTTTAACAGATCTAAGTTTGACATTCATATGACTTTTATTTCTTGAGATATTCAGTAAAATCCGCAGTGGATCATGAAAACTCCCTGTATGATGAAGGAAAATGTTGTATATTATATTTCAATATGATACATGGAATAAAATCTCAAGTATAGAATTTTTTATTCTTTTTCATCTGATCTGTGATGTTATTGCAATAATTTGCCAACTCAACATGTTGATCTGTCCATTTTACCATCATGAACAATTTAAACTTTACATTTTCTAGAAAAAGTTTTATTTTCTTGTTTAAAGATTTTGGGTGAGTTTAATTTTCTATCATAATTTTTTTGTTTTTATCAAGACAAAGTTTTCTCACCAAATTCTCCTCGGAAATCCTAAACTTTATACCTTAACTTCAGCATTGATTCTATTTCATTTCAAATGATTTCATTAAAATTTCATTCCGAATCAGAATTTGATGATTTGTTTACATTTTTCCCTTCAAAATTCATATTATTTTCCTTACTTTCTATTGCAAAACCTTCACTGAACATGAATAATATCATATTGCAATTACTGAGTCAGTAATACTGACCAATATATTTGAAGAGTTGAACTTCAATGAATTTGTTATTCTTTTGATGGTAAACAACAAAAATTTTGTTTTTAATTGTCGAGTTGAAATTTGACAATTACCTATGAATCAAATTCCAAAAGTTATTCATTATAAAGTTCTGCTATTTGTATCGAGATGGTCAAGAGGTATACAATGAACAGAGATGGACAATCCTAGAGATAAACTATCATGAGTATAAGCTAATAATTTTCCGTGTTTTCTTCATTGACTTTGCATTTCATTTATTCAGCTTATCTGTTAATCCTTGTAATCAATTTGAGACGAATTGATTTAATACTAACAATCAGTTGCAGTTTCAAAGACTTTTTCAAGTGATTACTTTTCCTACTACAGGGTTGTACAGTTTATGGTTATTGAGAAACAAAAACTGTCGGTGAAAATAGCTGAATAACCCTGTATTCTAATGAATGAACAACAATCAAGTGTATTCATTGTGAAAATAATGATGATACTTTGATTATAATCATACAAAAGAAGCCAGATTACAATGTTAACTAATAATTCACTTGATTAAACAAATTGTATTCTGTGGTCATCATGTCCAACCCAGTGAACTGTCCACTTTTAACCCTATGCTTTTTTTTCACCATTAAAATAATTTAATTTACAACCTTTTGAATGTTGATTGTCAATGAAATTGAAAATGAATACAAATTCAAAATTTAGAAGCTCAAAATTAATTCTGGATTAAAAATTTTGATGGTGAAAAAAAAGTCTCTTGTAATCTGTATGATGGTTTATTTATACTTGAGGGGAGATTCATTGTTTACCATGATGAAATTTTCATGATGAACAATGAGCACACACAGTAACCATATTAAATACAAGAAGGTAAAGTATCAACAATGGCGAAGAAAAATTTCCTGAGTAATTGTTACCTCGATAATTTTTCTCCTTCTCATCATCAAGTCTGAATTCTGAGAGTGGAAGTTGATTCTTTTTTCTAGTTACTCCCTTTTACTCACCTTTAGTTTCATTCATGTTTTTTCATGATATTAAAATTAGAGAACAAGCATTTTGACAGGTTATTATTAACACAATGCTAACATACATCATCATCATCATCATAATCCAACTGATGGAAGAGAGGAAACAATATGGTTCAGAATATTTCGATATACAAATTGTTTGACCACTGGTCAGTTTAATACTTGTGAGATTTCATTTTTTTCCCCATGATGATTGATTTTCAACCAAAAGGTTTACTTATTTTAAAATGTTACCAAATTGATGATGATTTTCAATCCTATTAAATTGTTAACATTTTTAAATTATTATTATTTTCCTTGATTTATTGTTTGATGAGAGAAAATAAATTGATAAAATAATCAATACAATTAAGTGTATCTACTTTACGAGTGCAACTTGGGGGTGGTTGTTGGTGCTTTCATGGTGTTCATATTGAACTTTTATTGATAGTTTTATATTAACATTGTATTTATCAGTTGATATTACATACTTAGTATATTGTAATGGTAATGATCCAATAGCTATTAGTATGAGCTTATTAAAAGACTTACAAATTTTTTTTGTAGGAATTAAATTGTTGATAAATAATCAGAATCATTTGCTGGAAACCTTATCAATCTCAGCCAGTCTCTATTTTTCATGGGAAAATTGAGTCA